AGCGTATTATCCTAGTATAGCTTTCTAGCGCTCTTTAGTAGAGCTATAGCTAACTACTTCTTCCGTGGCCGGTAGACCCCTATAGCGATCTTCTTAAGCATTTGCGGACCACCAATATCTTTACTATCCCGCTTCCTCTTCCTAGCAGGTCCAAGCAGCTAGTTAAGCCCCCATAAGTCTTTCTACAGAGTTGAAGCACGCAGATTCCGGCGGATAAGGCTATCCTATATATTCCCAAAGTTAGCATTATGTTGGTTTGCATATGCCCGGTTAATAGTCCGCGTACTATAGTTCCGCTGCTTGGTTATAACCCGAATATTAGCCTCAATCTCTTCGGCATCCTCGTCGTTAGCCCTATTGTTAACCTCAAAGCACCCAACGTTAGCTATAAACTTAGTTTTAATGATATTAAGTGTTATCTGCCGCTAGTTGGCTATGTGTAGCCTGGGGATGCTAGCCCGACTACACGCCTGCTCTATGCACCGCGTGAGCCGGTTGTTAGCCTAGACCTTCCCGTCTTACCACCACAAGTACGGAGAGATAATAGTATGCGGGGCAGACTAGCGGAGGAAGACTTAGCGGAGCGGGATAACAACTACCAAGTAGTCGAGCAAGAAGTCTCCAACGGGTGCAAGTAAGAACCGGATATTATCCTTAAACTTGCCCGTCTGCTGCTAACCTTTGTGGTATGTAGTGTATAGCATAACTAGCCTGTGCTTGAAGTAGACGTTTCGCCGCCGCTAGGTGTTACACCAGGTGACGGAGAACAATTCACTCTCGCGCAAAGGCTAGCTAGAACCCATGTGGATTAAGACTAAGAGCCTTTTTAGGAACTCGTTAGCTACAGCCTCATACTGCTCAATCGCCTTCCCTCGCCAGACCTTAGCGCCATCTGCGGTGGCATCCAGGAACGAGTCCCGCAACGGCTTCGAGTCTTGGATAACGGTTAGCAAAGACCTCGCTAGCGGCTTTACTAGCTTAACGTTCTCCTGGTGCTGGCTAAAGAACTAGCCAAAGGCATCGGCGTCTAAGTTGTCCTTTAAAGCCCAAGTACGCATCCGCGGGAGGTTCTGGGCCCCGAACATTAGCTCGTCGTAGAGTAGGTGCTAAGCCTGCTAGAAGTCGGAGAGTAAGAGCCGCGGCACGTGATCCATATGCAAATCAACGTCCCGGTAGGTCAGGACCTTCTCGTCCACATCCCACTGTGCTTGGTGCGGCCCAACGACCTCCTTCGAGACAGTAAACAGCCGCAATACTGCTCAATGCGCTCGAGCGTATCACCTAGCTCCGCCTTCTCTAGACAGGCGCTAGTGTGGAAGATGATTAGCTGCACAACCCAGATCACACTAGACAAGCAGCTGTTGTAATTACCCGGTTCCTTCCAAGTCTTAGTGTACGGCTTAACGCTGAGCATAGCACAGAAGCTAAGCAGTAGGGAGCTGTACCAATTGCCTCTAAATTCGTGGCAGATCAGCGCCATTGAGAGGACGGACATAGTATCTCTTAGCGCAGGCCGGTCCTGCTCGACAGCACTTTGGAAGGCCGCTTCCCACGCCTTCTCCTGGGCATCCGTGAGCTGGATGCAGCTCTCAGGGGTCCGCTGGTCGTCGTCGGCCGTGGTGAAGTGGCTGCCGCAGTAGACGACCCGGTAGCAGAACGTCAGGAACTGCTTCTAGTAGCCGAAGTTGGTCTTAAGCGTATTAGGCTCCTTCTTAGGGTCGAAGGCGCGTATCTTCTGCCCCGGGGCAGCGCCAGTATGGAAACGGCTCAACGCTAGCTGCCGTGGCTAGGTCAGCATACAGTCTGGGCCGTCGAAGCACCAGCTATGTGCCTCTGAGAAGATTTCGTCTATAACCTCCAGCATTAAGAATAGCTCGGGCTCGCTCTCGGCATTCTTTGGCACCGCAAAAGAGGTGTGCATCTCGTCCTTCTTCAAGCCCCGCGTGTGCTCCTCGATACCCGTCCGTCTCAGCCACAGTATTACAGTAGATCTATAGCTATCGAAACTATGAACGATATTGGCTTCTGCTTTGGCATCTGCCTCTGCTACGGCTACATCTTCATCGACTAGCTTGAAGAAGTCTGCCTCTCCCGAATCCAAGCTCTTTGTACTAGCGTCTGAAGCTCCTGCGGCTTCTTTAGTATTATCCACTACAAAATACCGGATGTGCTGCTTCTCGGCGAAGAAGGTCTGCAGCTTACACTTCCGCCAGAGGGCCGTCTTTTTATGCAGCGCTGGCTTCTGCTGGTGTACCTTAGACACGTGCAGCTGGATAGTCTGGAGGCTCTATGTGAGGCCTGCCAAGCACGTCGAGCACTGGAAGCCGTCTAGGAGCCGCAGACCAGCAACCGCCTGGGTTGGCACGACTACTTGCTCCGGGGCCAACAGATCATAACTCCCAAAGAGCTCGACGAGAGCCTTCAGCGGCGCGCCTCGCAAGCAATGCGGCTGCTGCCTGAGGTGTCGAGGCCATACGTCGCGTCTAGGCTGTAAACAGAAGCCGCACTCAACGCAGAGGAGCACCCGCCACTCGGGCTTGTATATAAACGCGTCGCTTATAGCTCTAAAAGGGTTGTGCTAGTAGGCTTAGCTCTTCTTCACGCCAAGTTCTGGGCCTTATAGAGCTGCGAGGGCGCGTGTTTGTGGTTTATATAGTATGGTTCACTTATTATGGTTGACTGGTCCGTGCAAGACCCCTGAGCCAGGGGTCATCTCGCGTGCCGAGCCGCATAGTTAACCATAATAAGTGCGATTTCGATAGGTAGGTGACTCAGCGAGCTCACGTGCACAACAGTGGTTGACACTACTCTCTACGCACGGACCAAAAACACCAAAATCATGAAGACAACAAAAATAATAATACATTATAGTAACTCTACAATCTACCATTTGTTGCCCCTAATAGGCTTCCCACCGCACCTTCCAACCTCTGCGCATCTTCTGGGCATATCAGCAATACGCTCCCGTATTTGCTTTAAGGTAATTTTGTCCCATTCCTCCTAAATACCTATCTTCATATCCTCCTTAGAATCAAATAACCTACGCCTCAATCTTTGCTTTATAATGCTCCAAATAGCTTCAATGGGATTGAGATTAGGGCTTTGGGCAGGATGGACAAGGTTTTGGATATTGTGGGCACTCTTATACTCTTGTGCTAACTCCTTTTTGCGCATGCTATGAGAGGGATCGCTATCCTCTTGTAATAGCTATGGTTTATCATCGATATGGCGCATAGACTCGATGGCTTGACAGTAGATAGGTAGTAGACGGTCCTCATAGTACTTCTGGGTCATAGAATTGCCTTGTACTTTGACCTCTCTTGCATGTGGCAT